TCCACTAAGCTCCGCCACTGCTTGGATGCTGGATGGCTCAAGTGATGGTTCGGGCATAAGAAAACAAAAACCTTTTTTATTTTTGCAAATCAACAAGCCTTATTATTTACTCTTTCTTGAGAAAAAAAATCTTATGATATATTAAAGCTTTATTGCTTGCTCGTCGTGATTACATTCACGTCTCGAAAACCAGCTAAGAAAATATTGAAGACACCCTACATTTAGCAAGACCATATTAATTATTATTTTTGCCATGACAAATCTGCGCTGCAAAGGAAAATATTGATTATTGCAAAACAAAGATACCAGTGTATCCTTTCCGTACTTATGGTTACTGGCGCAAATCAACAAAAGCTAAGAAAGAAAGCCATTATCCCGACTCTAAATTATTAGTAAAAAACAGAAAGTTCGGAATAGAGCACAAGGTGTTTGAGAGAAACAGCAAGAATAAAACAAAAATAAAGAATAAAATAAAGAACATCACATGCATCGTAAACGGGGCATGTAGACCAAGGGTGAAGAAGATTTTTTTTTTGGAAAAGGAGGATAACCCCCGACCTCTGCATACACCCATAAAGGTGAAACAGATGTAGTGCCAAAGAATGGATGTCAGCCAACTATATCAAAAGAAGTACTCACCTACTTCAAGGAGTGATGATGTACCACCATCTATCGCCCAGGTGGAATCTCGGTCCCCTTGCCCTGGCATGAAGGGTGCCGACCCATCAGGTGACAAAGAAGCTCACTTGAGAGGTTGAATGAACACCATAACTGGACCAAGGCATACATCTGCCACAAATGTAGCTCAAAAAGAGAACGGTATTGTTGTGGTCCACGAACCAATCACACGATGGTCAGTTGATATAGACCCAAGGGTCTAAGCACAAGCCTTTGAGGAGGGAACGACGTAGAGGCATCGAAAACATCCACTTAAGCAACCAGGCCATGGCTTTTCATGCCCGAAACCCGAGTGATGGAGGCACGACCCAATGACAATGCCTTCATGGAAAGAAGTGACGCTCTTCATGCCCAAAACCTGATTGATAGAGGCACGGCCCAATGACAATGCCTCCATGGAAGGAAGTGGCTCTTTTCGCGCTCAAGGCCCGAGTGATAAAGGCACGATCCCATAACGATGCTCCCATGGAAGGAAGTGGCACTCAAAAAGGTCATCATCGCCTGCACCGACATTTATGCCTAGGCTTCATTGCCACCTTTAACTGAAGCTCACGCTTCTTACTCATACAAAAATACATCATTGTGGCCAAATTAAGTTTTTTTTTGTTTGGAACATGTGAAGGATTCAGAAGGACTGAGAGTTGCTCTATATATTATAAACAAAAAACACATACAACTCACACGAGGACCCAACTGAAAACTAAATTTTCAACTATGTCCAACATGTTTACAAGAAGAGCCCCGCAAATAAAGCATAGATTGCAATTGAGTTATCTTGCAACACTGAGCTCCAACTCTGAATAGCCTTGCCGACGTCGGAGAGAATATCACTTGGGCCAACAAGGTCGTCACCGCTGCAGTACCAGATCTCACGAGAAGTGACAGCTGTGGACGGAGAACCATAGCTCACCTACCACCCTTTTGACGTGCAGGTCAGGAGAAGAAGCAAAGGTCGTGGCCATCTTGCAGAAGACCATCATCATCTGGCACCGCTGTCAGGGCCACTTATTTTTGTGGCTTTTTGAGCTTCTAGAATAAGCTTTCTCCTACCGAGCTTATTATAGAAGCCCAACCAAAAATATATTTTTTAAATCTACTAGTCAAATCGTAATTAGTAAGCTTTTGAAAAAGTTGATTGGGCTTTTAGGTTTAGATTAATTTGGATAGGAGGCGGCTTATTTCAGCTTATTTTAGAAGACCGTTGTGAGGATATAACTTGTATCTGATCTCAGATCTGTGGCTAATTCACCATGAGGTATGCACAAGCTCACGCACGCCACACACTAGCCATGGCCGAAGCCACCAACTCCTTTCCCAATCCACACGCAAAGCACACACACCGCGTATATCAGCGTACACCCTTAACGGGCCCGGTCTGGGCCTGCAAGCCACTGGGGAAGTCGTCGATCGCGAGTGGGCCGCGAGGCTGCTGGCCCACGAGTTGAGTCCTCGTCACCTCGCGCTTCTGGATGACTGGCTTTGTCCTTGTGGGCGCTGACTACCGTAAAAGAACTGCCCCAAGTGGCGGGACTCAAAGCTTCCCAAATGCATACACCGCCGATGACGAGCCTAATCATGATGCGTGAAGACAGACGGGAGAAGAAAGATCCGTCCTGAAGAACGTGGAGCTTATCGGGCGAATTTTGCCACATCCGTGAGCGCCCGCTTTCGTCCTGCATGGGACAGCAAGCAAGCAAGCAGCCCATATAGTAGGATGTAAAATTAAGCAGTACTCCCAGCAACGAAACTATTCCATTAATCATTCTTTAAAGTCAATGACCTAAAAGTGGAGTGTTACGGCAGACGCTGAAACAATTTATACAATGCAAGAAAGAAAAAAACGAAACATAAAAAAAACAAGAAAAAAACGAAACATAAAAAAAATGGAAGCCCCCGGTGAGGATCGAACTCACGACCTTTCCCTTACGAAGGGAACGCACTACCACTATGCTACGGAGGCCCGCTGTGCTCTTCACTCCTCTGACACGTCCTTAATTTAATCACCCCGATTAACCCCTCCAGCACCAATCCGCCCGCCCCGCCCACCGCAACGGTTAACCGCTGACAGACACGTCCGACGCACTCACCGGAGCGAGCGAGTTCGAATTTGAAACCACGGGACAGATCCAGCAGCAGCACTGTATAGTCATCGACAACAAAAATCAAAATGCAAAGCCTCACGTACAGAACGTGGTACTCCCCGCAGGCTCGTAAATGCGGCCGGACAGGCATGTCGGCCCGGGCCCAGATTCAGAGGCTCGCATTCATGGATGCCTGCCTCCAGCAGCAGACATACGGGCAGCGGCAACGGCTCCTCCTCCATACATTCATTTCCAGCCTATACAAATATCTTCCTTCACTCACGAACGAGCGGCATTCCGCCATTGTTTTCAACGCAGAGAGCTTGGATGGGTTGGGATGGCATCTGCCCTTTGGGGGAGGCGACGCACGGTTGACGGTCGTACGAGCCACGCAACACGGCCACGACGTCGGCCAGCACTGGATGGAGAATTCGCCTTCGCGGCGGCGAATCCTTGCAAGTTGTCGAAAATGCGGTCCGATTCCTTCCGGTGGTCTCTCTGGTATGCTACTGCCAATGATTGGCTGCTAAAGGGGAGAAATGCCAAGAAGCGATAGCGATAGAAATGCAAAGAGTGGCAGGTACTGCCACTGAACAACAACATGCCAACACCAATCTCCTGATGAGCGCATGCCTAATCCAACTCCAACGTCTTGAGAGTTTTGACACTGGAATACAGAACCACGACGGAAGTACTTCGTTCTTTCGGGTTGCAAGGATCTGTGGTCCGAGTCCAGTGGCCGATCGATGATTTTTATTTTTATTTTTCGGGAATACTGAACCACGACGGAACCACGACATGTATTCCACCCAGCTAGTCCATGTCAAAACGAGATGACATGCATCTTAAATCCATCATAAGATTTTTATTTTTCATTCGAGTTCATTATAATCTATATGAAAAGTGGAAGACAAGGAGAATGCGTTCATAGGAATTTAATTTTTCCTATAGAATACCACCTCCTTACCAAAATGATGTTCAATACTAAGACATTTCAAAACAAGAATACCACTCGCACAGCAGCATGGCACTGCAGCACAGGGCATACACGGCAAAAGGGCAGCAGCAATCACAGAACCAACCAAGCAAGCAAGCATAAGGAACAAATCATACACGCGAATGCATGGCAGGGGAGGACAACAGCTTAATCTAACATTACCCAGACTGATATTATCACAATGTTAGCCGGTGACAATGGACGGAAAGAGTAACCATCTAGGTACAAGCAGGGGCACCCCGCGGAAGAGGACATACACCCTCCACCACTAGGGCATCCCCGCCGGCGGCGGCGCCAACAGGGAGCGCTATCCGTTATAGCAGGACAATGACAGGAAAAAGGTAAAACAACATCACGATGTGAAGTGAAACTTGGGATAATTCTAGTGGAGATGGATAGGCTCCTTATGACACCACCGCACACAGCTCAGGTCCGTTCTCGCACAGCAGCTCCCGACTTGTCCGCCGGAGCAGCCTTGACAAGATGCGTCTTCTTCACTCGTCATCGTCCTCGTCCTGCAATGTTCAGTACAGGCTTATGTTCAGAACATGCACTACAACAGATCTTACTTAACAGGTGGTTGTTCTAATTGCCTACTACAGCCTCAGGCCTTCAACTCAATACCATCAATCTACACTTACAATCTACAGCTAAGGAATAATGCAGCATTCTGGTCAAGCAATAAGCATGCCTAGCAAGTACCATAAGCTAATTCAAGAGACAGTATACAGGATGTTGTGTAGTTTATACCTCATCGCTGCCCTCATCGTCATCGTCGTCATTGATCTCCGACTTGGACTTGTCAGATTCCTCCTCATCTTCCTCCTCTACCTCCTTGGCCGCAGCCTTCTTTGGGGCAGCAGCAGCAGCGCTCTGAACAAACAAACCACAGAGCAAAGATTAGCTCAGTCAAACATCATCAATCAGACAAAGCAGCAAGGTTAAATCGCAGGGTGGGTTCGGCAAGTCACTACCTCGCCCTTGTTGTAGGCAGCAATGGCCTTGTTGTACTCGCCCTTGAGCTTGTTGGCCTTGGCCACATAGGGGGCCTTTTCCTGCAAAGCAAACCCACAGAAGTTGCGTGTCAGCATACACATCGACAGACAAATCGGGCAACATGTCGGCCAAACCTAACAAGCTAGGGTTAATCAGAAGCAGGGTCAGGTACAAAAGCTTACCGATTCGCTCAAGCTCTTCCACCTCTCACCGGCCGCTTTGCCGACCTGAGTGAAAAATCACAGCGGAAGCAACTAATCAGTTCCCAGATCATGATCCAATCTATAGCACCTGATTTTTTTTTCTAGAATTACCAACCTACAGCACCTGGCAGATAAATTTGTACTACATGCTGGTACACAGAGCAAATCGGGAGAGGGGATAAATTTGGATGGAACTTACGGCGGCGACGGACTTGTTCTTGGGGTTCTTCTGCTTGAACTCCTCGCGGAACTCGCCCCTGATAGCAACCAACCAACAAACATCAGGTTCAGAACAAGGGCCGCCCGGGAAGCACGGGGAAACAGCAACGGGAAAACAGAATCTGAGCAGGGTAACAGGAAGAAAGCAAGGGGGATCCGACGGACGTACATGAAGACGAAGAAGGCGGATGGCGCCCTCTTGGGCTTGTTGGGGTCCTTGCCGGCCTTGCCCTTCTTCCCCTTGGCGGCCGGCTTCTCCGCCCCCTTGCTCTTCACCGCCAACCTACACGAGACGAGACCACCACCACAACAGCACAGATCGTCAGAACCCTAACCACGCCAGCAGATCTACCAGAAACACAAGAGGAATCGAATCGGATTTCTTACTTGGCGTCGGCCTTGGCGGCGCCCTTGGATTTGGCCCCCTTCATGGCTGGTTTCCTGCGCCGAAAAACACGAAATCAGCGACGGCACGGGCCGGAATCGGGCGGAGCGGCGAGGAATCGAGGCGATTCGGCGGCGGATCGGGCGCCGGCGAGGGAGGCTCACCTGGGGGGAGGGGGCGGGGGAGAGAGGGCGCTCCTGGTCTGGGTTGGGGAAAGGAGGAGGAGACGCAGACAAGGCTGGGCTGGGCTAACGCTGCGTTGCGCCGAGGGGATAAGAAGCGCTCGCCCGCCCGAGGGCGTATCCGCGATTCCGCCCCATCTCCGAGGGCCCGCCCACAACTCCCAATTCGAATTTTCGGACCGATCGCAACCTTTCCTCACTCCGTCCCGCCTACCCAGCGGTCACCCGCGGGGCCGGGTGCCTGGTGGGGCCGGGATGTCATGTATAGCACGCGGGTGGGTAGAGGGGCGGGCCGCCGCCCAGTACAACCCGCGAGGGGCGTAAACGCGATTATCCCAGACGGGAGGGACCCGGGCGTGAGGGCGCGCGCGCAGGGGCTTGGGCGGGATTTTGGAAATTTGGGGCCGCGCCGATATTTTTGCATGTGCCACGCGCGGGGGGCGCTGGGGCCTAACGCCACGTCACCGATCCGCGAGGTCTGCCGCGGTTGGCCGGCCCGCCGCGACGGAGGAGCGGGGTGGCGCCTGTGCTTTCACCCTGTGCTTCCTATGGCGCACGGCGCGGCCTCGCTCCGGCCGCTGGAGGCGCCGATCCGCCCCGTTCGAACTGCCTCCTTTCGCCGCGCGACGAACGCTGCCGATCCATGCGTGCCTCGGGCATGCTCTCCAACGCATTCTGAGTTTCGTGTGGTTTTGTGTCTGCACTTGGTCACGGTGACGTCACCACGATCAGCCTCATCTTCACCGGAAATGACGTTTTACTGTCGGTTTTTTACGGGTTTACTGCTTTTTTGTTTAGGGAAACGAGTTTACTGCTGGTTTGTTGTGGCCTGGCCTGCCGCCGGATCCATGGGTATGGAGATGGAACCTGTTATGAGTTTTCACAAGATGAATATACTTGTAATTTGTCTCAAAAATAAACATGAATACTCATGGTCAGAGAGTTTCAATCAATTTTTGGTGGACACTGATAGCTAGGAATCGATCGCCTCGGAACGATTCATTCGCTAGAGCGAGCAGCTCCCGGCGGTCACTAACATGTGAACGATGAAAAATTATTATTTGAGATTAATAAAGTTAGTCGTGATGGTCTTCCTCAACAAAAAAAAAGAAACTTCCATGGGCCATTTCTGATCGTTTGCTGGGGGCGGGCCCGACTGACCCAAGGGGCCGTGTTAACTGTTTTTTATTTAGAAAATGCCATGAATAAAAATATTCTTATAAAACATAGAGAAAAGCCAAATTTTGAAATTACATGCTCTGAATTTATGAAAATATCTAATATCTGAAACTAACCATGGATAGTAAAAATTGTATGTATACTTGGCGTGCTCCTATAGTTTCAGTTGTCGTGTCAACGAAGAAGAAGAAAATGCCATGATCAAAAAATGTCTTTTCTTAATAATAAAAATGGCATGTCTTAATAAATAAAACATGACATGTCTTAACAATAAAAAATGGCATATATCTTTAATAATTAAAATGTCATCTCTTGATAATAATAAAAATCTCATATCTTAATAATAAAAATGCCATGCAAAAAAGAAACTTAATTTGTGAAATAGAAACGGAAAAAAAAATTGCCGTGTGACATAGCTCAAAATTTTATAACGCGTCGCTGATACATCTCCAACATATCTATAATTTTTTAATGTTCCATGCTATTATATTATCTGTTTTGCATGTTTAATGGGCTTTAATATACCTTTTTATATTATTTTGGGGACTAACCTAATAACCAAAAGCCCAGTGCAAATTGCTTTTTTTGCCTATTTCAGTGTTTCGCAGAAAAAGAATATCAAACGGAATCCAAACGGAATGAAACCTTCGAGAGAGTTATTTTTGGAACAAACGTGATCCAAGAGACTTGGAGTGGACGTCAAGAAAGAAGCGAGTAGGCCACGAGGCAGGAGGGCGCGCCCAGGGGGTAGGCACGCCCCCCACCCACATGGGCTCCTCGCAGCTCCACCGACGTACTTCTTCCTACTATATATACTCATATACCCCGAAAATATCCAGGAGCACCACGAAACCCTATTTTCATCGCCGCAACCTTCTGTACCCGTGAGGTCCCATCTTGGGGCCTTTTCCGGCGCCCCGCCGGTGGGGGAATCGATCACGGAGGGCTTCTACATCAACACCATAGCCTCTCCGATGATGTGTGAGTAGTTTACCATAGACCTTCGGGTCCATAGTTATTAGCTAGATGGCTTCTTCTCTCTCTTTGGATCTCGATACAAAGTTCTCCTCGATTCTGTTGGGGATCTATTCGATGTAATTCTTTTTGCGGTGTGTTTGTCGAGATCCGATGAATTGTGGCTTTATGATCAAGATTATCTATGAACAATATTTGATTCTTCTCTGAAATCTTTTATGCATGATTTAAATATCTTTGCAAGTCTCTTCAAATTATCAGTTTGGTTTGGCCTAATTGATTGATCTTTCTTGCAATGGGAGAAGTGCTTAGCTTTGGGTTCAATCTTGCGGTGTCCTTTCCGAGTGACAGTAGGGTCAGCAAGGCACGTATTGTATTGTTGCCATCGAGGATAAAAAGATGGGGTTTATATCATATTGCTTGAGTTTATCCCTCTACATCATGTCATCTTGCCTAATGCGTTACTTTATTCTTATGAACTTAATACTCTAGATGCATGCTGGATAGCGGTCGATGTGTGGAGTAATATTAGTAGATGCAGAATCGTTTCGGTCTACTTGTCGCGGACGTGATGCCTATATACATGATCATGCCTAGATATTCTCATAATCATTCGCTTTTCTATCAATTGCTCGACAGTAATTTGTTCACCCACCATAGAATTTGCTATCTTGAGAGAAGCCACTAGTGAAACCTATGGTCCCCGGGTCTATCTTCCATCATATTATTTTCCTATCAACTTGCTATTTCTATTACCGTTTATTTTGCAATCTTTATTTTCCAATCTATATCATAAAAATACCAAAAATATTTATCTTATTATCTGTACCGGATCTCACTTTCGTAAGTGACCGTGAAGGGATTGACAACCCCTTTATCGCGTTGGTTGCGAGGTTCTTGTTTGTTTGTGCAGGTACTAGGCGACTTGCGTGTTACCTCTTACTGGATTGATACCTTGGTTCTCAAAAACTGAGGGAAATAATTATGCTACTTTGCTGTATCACCCTTTCCTCTTCAAGGGAAAACCAACGCATGCTCAAGAGGTAGCAAGAAGGATTTCTGGCGCCGTTGCCGGGGAGGTTGCACCAAGTCAAGTCAAGATTTGATCTACCAACAACTAGCCATTTTTGGCGCCGTCTACGCACAAGTCAAGACATACCAAGTACCCATCATAAACTCTTATCCCTCGCATTACATCATTTGCCATTCGCCTCTCGTTTTCCTCTCCCCCACTTCTAAAACGATTTTCGAAAACCTTTGCCTTTTCTTCGCCTTCTTCCCGTATGTATCTTTGTTTGTGTTTCCATGTGCCTTTTATTTGCTTGCTAAAAATCTATTGATAGGGATCCACATAAAGTGTTCTACTTGGATCATCTTCAATCCTTATGCGCACACGCAAGTTTGGGGATGCTAGTTTTGTTGGGGAACGTAGTAATTTCAAAAATTTCCCTACGCACACGCAAGATCATGGTGATGCATAGCAACGAGAGGGAAGAGTGTTGTCTACGTACCCTCGTAGACCGGCAACGGAAGTGTTGACACAACGTAGAGGAATTAGTCGTACGTCTTCCTGATCCGACCGATCCAAGTACTGAACGTACGGCACCTCCGAGTTCTGCACACGGTCAACTCGATGACGTCCCTCGAACTCCGATCTAGCCGAGTGTTGAGGGAGAGTTTCGTCAGCACGACGGCATGGTGATGATGATGATGTTCTACCGACGCAGGGCTTCGCCTAAGCACCGCTACGATATGATCGAGGTGGATTATGGTGGAGGGGGCACCGCACACGGCTAAGAGATCAAGAGATCAATTGTTGTGTCTATGGGGTGCCCCTAGCCACGTATATAAAGGAGTGGAGGAGGGGGGAGAGGGCCGGCCCCTATGGCGCGCCTGGAGGAGTCCTACTCCCACCGGGAGTAGGATTCCCCCCCTTCCAAGTAGTAGGAGTAGGAGTCAAGGCAAGGGAAGGGAGAAGAGAAGGAAGGAGGGGGCGCAACCCCTCCCCCTAGTCCAATTCGGACTAGGCCTTGGGGGGGCGCCCAACCTCTCCTCTCTCTTTCCCCTAAAGCCCAATAAGGCCCATATACTCCCCGGTGAATTCCCGTAACTCTCCGGTACTCCGAAAAATAACTGAATCACTCGGAACCTTTCCGATGTCCGAATATAGTCGTCCTATATATCGATCTTTACGTCTCGACCATTTTGAGACTCCTCGTCATTTCCCCGATCTCATCCGGGCGAACTCCTTCGGTACATCAAAACATATAAACTCATAATATAACTGTCATCGTAGCGTTAAGCGTGCGGACCCTACGGGTTCGAGAACTATGTAGACATGACCGAGACACGTCTCCGGTCAATAACCAATAGCGGAACCTGGATGCTCATATTGGCTCCTACATATTCTACGAAGATCTTTATCGGTCAGACCGCATAACAACATACGTTGTTCCCTTTGTCATCGGTATGTTACTTGCCCGAGATTCGATCGTCGGTATCTCAATACCTAGTTCAATCTCGTTACCGGCAAGTCTCTTTACTCGTTCCGTAATACATCATCTCGCAACTAACTCATTAGCTGCAATGCTTGCAAGGCTTAGGTGATGTGCATTACCGAGAGGGCCCAGAGATACCTCTCCGACAATCGGAGTGACAAATCCTAATCTCGAAATATGCCAACCCAACAAGTACCTTCGCAGACACCTGT